TTAATTTCTCTCTGTCTCTCTCTGGTGAGTACATGTGCCCTGTAGCAATAATAATAAAATCAACTAATTCTTTTTTAAAAAGGAAAATAAATTTCTATTTATTGAGCCTTTACTTTGTGGCAGACTTGTATTATGTGTTTCATAAAGGATCTAGTCAAATTCTTGTAAGGATCCTCCAAAGTAAGAGTTTCTCATGAGGAAACAGGTTTAGATTAGTTTGCAAAGATTCCAGAGCAAGTATGATGCAGTACCAGAATTTAGTTTTATGACCTTGCTTACTTACCGAGTACTGTTAACCTTTATTAACAGGTGAGGAAACCAGAGCTCAGGAACATAGACTTTTCTCAAGTCCTATGGTAGATGTGTTAGGGTGGTACTTGGCCCCAATTCAGTGGCCCACCAGTCGAGATTTCTTCCTCTCCCCCTCCCCCCTCCCATGTTACCACGTTGTGTCCCCAGAGCCTGTTCTCCTGTGTTCTTGAACCCAAGGTGGGCAGCATTTTGTCCCTTTCTGCACTTTATGTCCCTTGCCTGAATTTCACACGAAGCTCCTTTTATAATCTGATAGCAAAACCTCAATTAGATTTAAAATGAACCATGTTCCAGTGCTCAGATTTTTTTTTTTTTGAGAGGTTTTCGCTATAGGGCGTGTGCGCTTGCCAGACAGACAGAGACATAGAGACAGAAAGCGAGAAATCACCCCCCAGAGGGGATGGTCACGCCACAATCCCTTCTCCTCCATTCTCCTCTCGGGATCTTGGGCACACACGCACACGTGCCCGGCGTGAGTTTTAAGCCACCGGGTCCGGGACGCAAACCGCGGTCAACTACGTGGGAATCCAGCGACATAGCCATTACGTAACTGCTGGTTCCCCCAGTGCTCAGATTTTTCAAAACTTCTGTATTTCAGGTAATAGCTAATGGAGCTCCATCTAAACTTGTTTTACAGGCTCTATTAAGTTCTCCGTAGTCATGGAAGTCAGGCCAGTAAAGTGTCCCCTCATAAGACAAAGGCCCAGGGTTGGAAGGTTAGAATGAGCCATTTCTAAGAGTAGTGCTTTCACCTCTGATAGAGTCTCCTTGAGGATAAGTTGTGGGGAAGAGGTAGTCATCAACTCAGGTAGCCCTTGAGTTGGTTAAATCCCTTCAGGTGAGTTTTGGTTTAGCCAGGGGCACATTCTGAAAGGACACAGGTTGGTTTATTCCTGCATTTATACTATAAGAATAAATCAGTTTTTTGGGAGACGGTCCCTGGTTTTCATCAAATTCTCAAAGGTAGTCATTATCTTCAAAAATCATTAAGAACCGTGGATCAGCAGGTGGCGTAGTGGTTCAAGCACTGGGTTCCCATGTGGTTGACTTTGGTTTGAGTCCTGGACCCAGCGGCTTGAAACTCAGGCCAGGCACATGTGCGTGTGTGCCCAAAATCCTGAGAGGAGAATGGAGAAGGGATTGCAATGTGGCCAGTTTCTTTATGAAACTGATGGAGAATCTGAGACGCAGCATAAAGCTTACAGGGACTTGCCAGTGATGACCACAGAATTGGTTGTGGAGTGTTACTTGAACTCAGTTCTCCTGACTCCAAGTATAATGAGAACACATCTTGAGCACCTGCTCTGTACCAGAACTTGGTATGGTGGCTGGAGAGGCAAAGAAAAATCATGAAGCAAAACCAGGCACTAGCTGACAGTACTTGCTAACTGATGTCAGTTTTATGTTCTGACCTAGGAAATATACGTATGGTACTCTAAACAGATGAGACTCCTCGAGGCCTCATGAGACTGGCTTTCCTGGCTACCCGGAAGGCCCCAGAGGCACACTTATAAACCATTTTCAACAGACAGGGAAACATTGAGGTTTACACCAAGACTCTGCTGTACATCTCTGCCCGTACCTCCTTCATACTTTTAGTTTCCCGCCGCAACTGGCACAGAAACTCATGGGCACACAGTTTTAGGGTTTTTTTATAGTGATTTTTGCCTTAGGGGGCAAGCATTCACTGGAGAGAGACCAAGACAGTGAGAGGGAAAGTGAGAAATCACCCCCCAGGGAGGATGGCCACACTGCAGTCCGTTCTCCTCCATTCTCTCAGGATCTTGGGCATGCACGCATAAGTGCCTGGTGTGTTTTAAGCCACTGGGTCCGGGACTTGAACCGTGATTGGCCAGGTAGGAGTCCAGTGACATAACTGCTTACACTATCTGCTGGTCCCAAGCACACAGTTCTTACAGTTTCAACATCCTGTCCCCGCTCCCTCCCAAGAGTCTATCAATTAGAATCCCACCTACTCTTTTTTTTGGAAGAGATTTTCACTATAGGGTGTGTGCGCTCGCCAGACAGATAGAGACAGACAGAAAGCGAGAAAGCACCGCCCAGGGGGATGGTCATGCCGCAATCTCTTCTCCACTCTCCTCTTGGGATCTTGGGCATGCACGCACATGCACCCGGCGTGAGTTTTAAGCCACCGGGTCTGGGACGTGAACTGCGGTCAACTACGTGGGAGTCCAGCAACATAGCCATTACACTAACTGCTGGTTCCCAGAATCCCACCTACTCCTCAAAATCTTAACCCTTGACCCTATGTTTTCTTGATCTAAACTCCAGATTCTTTCTCCGCTTCACCTCATTTCCCACTAGGGCTTACCCTTGGCAGCACCTAAAACTTCTCCAACTTTGAATCCTCTCATTTCAGTTCAAATACCCTCATCGTAGTTATTCTGCTTTCAACCTATCATCTCAACTCTAGACCCTACTTCAAAGTCACCACTTTCCCTGCAGGCCTTAACTGTTGAAGCATTATTTTGATTCTCCTTTGAGTAAAAAAACAAACAAAAAACAAAATAACTTATTTTTTATTGCCAGAGGCACGTGCATGCTGGCCAGAGGGGGAGAAAGCACCCCCAGCTTCCTCATGGGGTGTGGTTGCACTGCAGTCCTTTCTCTATTTATCTTGTCGGAATTTGGGGCACACATGTACAAGTGCCCTGATGTGTTTTCAAGCTGATGGGGTTGAGATCTGAACTGTGGTCAGCCATGTGGGATCTGTCTCCCCTAACCACTAAGCGACAGGCTAGCCCAGAGTAAAAATCTTTTTTGGAAGATCTTATGCTGGGGGCTGGCAGGTGGAGTGGTGGTTAAGGGCACTGGACTCCCACATGGCCAACCATGGTTTGAGTCCCGGACCTGGCCGCTTGCTTTCTCACTTTCCTCTCTCTCTTGCTCACTCTGTCCCTCTCTGGTCAAATTAAAATGTAAGAAAACTGAATAAAGTTAAAATAATTCTTTAAAAAAAGGTCTTACACTATTCAGACATGTCCTTTTTTAGCACTCTATTTTTGCTATCATCTAATTTTCCAGTCATCTCTACATTCACTAAAGATTTCAGCAACTTGGGAACCAGCAGTTAGCGTAATGGCTATGTCGCTGGACTCCCACGTAGTCAACCGCGGTTCGCGTCCTGGACCCAGTGGCTTAAAACCCACACCAGGTGCGTGTGCGTGCGTGCCCAAGATCCTGAGAGGAGAATGGAGGAGAAGGGATTGCGGCGTGACCATCCCCCCTGGGGGGTGATTTCTCGCTTTCTGTCTCTATGTTTCTGTCTGTCTGGCGAGCACACGCACCCTATAATGAAAACCTCTCCAAAAAAAAAAAAAAAAAGATTTCAGCAACTGCCTATGATCTTCTTTTCCTAGCTTTAAATTCCAATATCTCATTTCCCTGGCTTTTCTTTTTTTTTGGAAAGTTTCTTTTTTTTTTTTTTTTTTTTTGGTTTTTGGTTTTTTTTTTGCTATAGGGCGTGTGCTCTCACCAGAAAGACACAGAGAGATAGAAAGTGAGAAATCCACCACCACCCCCAGGAGGGATCGTCACGCCACCACAGTCCCTTCTCCTCCATTCTCCTCTTGGGATCTTGGGCATGCACACACACACTCCTGGCATGAGTTTAAGCCACCGGGTCCGGGACTCAAACCATGGTCAGTTACATGGAAATTCAGCAACATAGCCATTATGCTAACTGCTGGTCCTCCCTGGCTTTTCATTACCACTTAGCCACTCTATTCCACGGCCCTTTGTGGGCTGTCATTTCCTAGTGCTGTTTAACTAACGCACTCCAGTTTACCACTTTGACCACAGGGCTTTCACAACTGTTTGCATGGTCCTGGTTTTCAGTTATTACAGAGACCTGCAGTTTCATGGCTCCAGCATCAGTCCCTAGCCAGTCAGCATCCCATGTTTGATGACCTGAGGATAGTATATAGCACTGTCAACCTCTTTTTGCCAATAAAACCCGAAGCCCTGGGCAAATGCTATTATTCAAACTGTCTGCCTCTGCAGCCAGGGCTGTGTTAAAAAAAAAAAAAAAAAGTGACATATCCACAAATACATGAAAAGCTTCCAACCTCAGAGTCCTCTTCAAATTTTTCTTCATTCCTCTCTGGTGTCTTTGCCTAAGAATTTCACCCTTAAAATTGATGTCGTCCAACAATCTTTCCCCCTCATACACATCTATCAATAATGCATGTTCTTGTTTCCTAACGTTTTAGTGGACTACGAGATGACTAGCTTCTAGTCTTAAAGTATCCCTTCTCTTCTCTATCGCATCTCATCTCCCCAGGGACCTCAAGCCATCATTAATTAGCCGTTCCCTCTCTATTGGCACCTTCCCCCCAGGCTCTCCCATCTTTATCAACAAACCACAGCCCAAACCTAGCACAATCAAGCGTGCCCAGAGTCTATGTTCCCGTGTCCGTCCTTTTCGGTGCCCTGCAAGGACATGCAACATGGCAGATCTCATTCGGTGCCTGATAAATTCCGAGCCTCGAAAGTACCGGGTGAAAGACCAGGTTCCCACCAACCTCGGGTCCACCGACCCTCTTCGCTTTGATTCACTCCGCTTTCCTACCCTGGACTCCTCCCTCTCCCTTCCCTCCCATGGCTCTCGCGAGACTTGGTGTTCCTCGTTCCACGCCACCCGGACTGAGCCGTGCACTTCTCGCGAGACTGCAGGCAGGGCCGGGCCAGACATGGCGGAAGGTAGGGTTTTTATGGAGCCGCGCGGGAAGGTGCGGAGCTGTGGGGGCGCTGCTGGCCGGGCGAAGCAGCCCCGGGAGAGGACTGCCGAGCGTGGTCGCATGGGGCACAGAGGGTCTCGCGAGCCTTCCCTGCAGCCTACCCTGAGCTCCGCGGGTTGGGGTCCTGAGCGCTGTTCCTATGGCAACGCCCCTCCCGCGGTCCCCGACCCCAGGGGACCTGGGCGAGCTGCAGAGCCGGGTTGGGAGGTCCCATGCTGGGACTGAGTGCTGCCGCGGGGCGCTCGAGGGCGGCAGGGAGGCTCCTTTGGATACCCGCGGTGCCCAGACGGCGGGGGAAGTAGCTCTTCGCCTTCGGAAATCGAAACTGCTGTCCTGGCACGTCCTGCATCCGGAAGGGGTACATCCCTAGTCTGCGGAAGAGCTTGGGACTCCTCTTGGGGTGAGGGGTGGGGAAGATCCAGGGCTGAAACTGGCCAGCGCGCCAAATGGGCGCGCACTGTGGGCTCGGGTCCCCGCAGCTGCCCGGGCGCGCAGGCCCATTGGGATTCTTCCCTCGGGCTTAGGGACCGGGAAGGGAGGAAGGGGTTTGCTTGGTGAGGGAGGTGGCCAAGGTCACACTGCTCTGCTCGCACGAGGTGTGCTCAAACCAGGCCTCTCTGCTCCTTTGCCTCGCAGTCCAGCACGTACTTTATGACATGGCAAGTGAAGGCAGTTCGGTCTTTTCGCCGGTTCTCCCTTCACAGAGCAGCAATATTAGCATTCTTCATTGTCAAAGCCTTACTGTATCTGTGGGGGCGAGAAGCCAGCGGATGGGAGTTTCCTGGCAGAGACAGTACAGGGACACTGTTGGACCTGGCCAGTGCGTTTCTCTTATGTACCCCGTTTTAGGAGAGAAATATCCCTTCGTTGATTTACTGTTTATTGCGTGGCTGCAGCGTGCTTGGTCATGACCAGTCCTGTTGGCTTTGAGCTAAGCTTTGACTGGACCCATCACTCTTGGATCCTTAGATTCGGGTAGCACATGACAGTTTGCAGGCTTTTCTCATTTGGATTAGGCTTCAGAATAACCTCCTAACCTTGGAGGCCTGGCATGTGTGTTATTTACTTTTTAGAGATGAAGGAATTTAGGCCGAAGTTAAAGAGAGCTGGGACTGGCACCCATGTTTTGGCGTTGCTTTTTCTGTTGTGTTAGACCCCCTGGAGGGGGACTGTCTGCTGAATATTTTCTGAAAGCAGAGGAGGAAGAAAAGGAAAAGAAAGCAAGCTATGGCATCCCTGAAGCTAGTTTTTAAATCAGAGGGTGGTTTTGCACACTGAGCCGCCTGCCATATTGGGGCTTGTTGCTCAGAGCAGTGAGGTGGGTAGAAAGGATCAGGAAGGCTTCGTGTGAGGTGGCTGTCAGTCTAGCACTTTTGCACTAGGGATGGAAGTTGAGAGTTGAGGGAATGCACTAATTATCAAGGTTGGAATTGTGCAGGGCATCTGTTTTTTCCTTCAGTTTTCCTGCTGTGCTTTGCATTTGGTTCAGCCCTGAGGAGTTCACGTAGGCTTAGGTGTACTAATTGTCACGTCTTGGGATAGTGTGAGGGTGGCCTGGAAGACCTCTAGCCGGTGGCTGTATTCCTTAAATGGACAAACACCCTTTCTAGCTCAAATTGAGCAGGGTGAGTAGATAGGTAAAGCAATGGCGTGAGGTTCTGAACCAGTTTTTCTTTGACCTTTTTTGATCTTTTGTTATTTATTTATTTTACATTTGCTATAGAGTGTGTGTGCTCACTGGAGCGAGAGCGAGCGAAAGAGTGCAAAAGCACTCCCCAGCTCCCAGGAAAGGATGGCCACTCTGCAATCCTTTCGCCTCCATTCTCCTCCTGGTACTTTTTGGGTATGTATGCAAACACACACATGCCCAGCATGTCCCTCAGACTGCTAGGATCCATTCACCCCAACCACCATGCCACCAGCTGGCCCCTTTTACCTTTTTTTATTTTAAAGAATTAGTTATTGGGACCAGCAGTTAGTGTAATGGCTATATCGCTGGATTCCCATGTAGTCGACTGTGGTTCGAGTCCCAGACCCGGTGGCTTAAACTCACGCCGGGTGCGTGTGTGTGCATGCCCAAGATCCCGAGAGGAGAATGGAAGAGAAGGAATTGCGGTGTGGCCGTCCCCCCTGGGGAGTGATTTCCTGCTTTCTGTCTGTCTGGCGAGCGCACACGCCCTATAGCAAAAAACCTCTCCCCCCCCAAGAAAAAGAATTAGTTACTTAATTTTATTAATTGTTTTAAATTTTGCTATAAGGCATGTGTGCTTGCTTATCAGAGAGAAAATGAGAAAGCAAGCTGAGAGGTCTGGGACTCAAACAACACCCCAACCACCACGCCATCTGCTGGTCTCCACCTTTTACCTTTTTTTTTTTTTTGAGAGGTTTTCGCTATAGGGCGCGTGCACTCGCCAGACAGAGAGAGACAGAGACAGAAAGCGAGAAATCACCCACCAGGGGGGATGGTCACGCCGCAGTCCTTTCTCCTCCATTCTCCTCTCAGGATCTTGGGCACTCATGTACAAGTGCCCGGCGTGAGTTTTAAGCCACCGGGTCCAGGACGCGAACCACAGTCGACTACATGGGAGTCCAGCGACATAGCCATTACACTAACTGCTGGTTTCCGCCCCTTTTACCTTTTTAAAAAATTTTATTTATGTCTTTTCATGAGAGAGGCAGACTGGCACTCTTGACAAGGTCTTAATCACACAGCAGTCGCCTTCCCCCAGCCCTCTAGCTAGTCAGGATCTGGCTGTACTGGGTGTGTTTCCGGTCGACTGGAGAGGTTGGCCCTGTGGCTTCCAGCGTTGCGCTCAGTGTGCGGCTGCCTGTGTGCCGGCTGTCTTTCACCTGGTGTTCCTCCCAGTTCCCCACCTGTGTTCAGAATTAGGCTTTTTAGAAACAATGTTGCTAGCTTTGGGAAGACCTGAGTGAGGCTTTCTAGATACTTAGCTCATTGAACTGAGGGAGCTCCCTACGCCAAGGCAAGATGAGCTGGAAAATACTTGGTGGTGGGGTACACTTGTTCACTGCTGCTGGTTCTTTAGTCAGAATTACCAGAGCCAGCCATGTTTGTTCTGAGCTGCTCATTTAAACATACTCAAGTGGCCAAAACCTGTGTCGTGCAACAGTTGGATTATCTATAAGCACACTCTGGGGACATTCTGTTTGTGGGTGCTTGTTGGGGGTGTGAGAGTGCGAGGAATAGCACCGAGGAAGAGATAATAGAACCTTGAGCAGTGGAGCGTACAGAATCTTCTTTCTTTATTTTTTTTTTAAGATGGGACTCAGGGACCAGCAATTAGTGTAATGGCTATCTTGCTGGACTCCCATGTAGTCAACCGCAGTTCAAGTCTCAGACCCGGTGGCTTAGACTCATGCCGGCACGTGTGCGTGCGTGCCCAAGATCCCGAGAAGAGAATGGGGAAGAAAGGATTACGGTGTGGCCATTCTCCCCCCCCCCCCAGGGGGGGGATTTCTCGCTTTCTGTCTCTCTCTTTCTGGCAAGTGCACGTGCCCTCTACCAAAAACCTCTCCAAAAAAAAAGAAAAAAAAAAAAGATGGGACTCATTTGGAAGACAACTCTCTTAGGCTGGCTCTGTGGTGCAGCGGTTAAATACTGTGCACAGTAAGCTAGATCCTACGTGGAAGACCAGAGTTCAAATCTCGGACCCTTGAAAAACATGCGACATGCACACATGCATATTGAGAATTCTGATGGGATGGAAAATGGAAGGAAAAAAGGATTGTAACATGACTCAGCCCAGTTTGGTGGGATGGAGGGGTCCTCTCTCAAACGTATACACTTTGTGTCACAAAAATGAATGAGCTAGGGGTTTGGCAGATGGGTGGTAGTTCAAGGCGCTGGACACCCACATGGCCGACTGCTGTTTGAGTCCCGGACCTGGCGGCTTCCTTTCTCACTTTCTCTCTTTCATTCTGTCCCTCTCTGGTCGAATTATAACAAATAAATAAAGTTAAAATAATTCTTAAAAAAAATGAATAAGAAAACCTTCTGTTCTTCCATCAATCTACGGTTATTGGTCTGACCATATATACTTAGCTAAAATCTGTCCCAAAATTTGTTTCCCTTAACATTTTGCATCCTACAGCTATCCTACTAATCCAAGCCTCCTTCCTAACTGCGATGCTTCAGCAGCCTCCTCTGTGGGCTTTTTGCTTTTTTTTCTCCTTGTTTTTCTTTCCCCACAGCCCATTTTTACAGTTTGCAGTGTTTTCTTTAGAACATAAATCAGATCATGTCTGATACCTGCCTTTCCGCCCCCAACTCCCATATGGTTTCGCAGGCTCTTGAAACATACTCCAAAACCTTCTAATGACCTTCGAGTCCCAACAGGGTCTGGCCCCTGTGTTACACTGTAACTTTATTTCCATCTTCTCATTCGCTGCCACCCTAACCTCCTTGCCTTTCGTGACAGCGCCTGACATGCCTCTACTTCTCCATCTTTGCTTTTGTAGTTCCCTCGGCCTGGAACAGCCCTCCTCTGTTTCTCCCCATGGCTGACCAACCTCTGTTCACGCAGGTGTCCGTTCAGTTGTCACCTCATTAGAGAGCACACCTCACTGGAGCATAAACCCCACGAGGGGCTTTTTCTGTTTCGTTCGCTGCTGTGTCTGCCAACAGAGGATCATGCCTGTGGCTGAAGGAATATATTAATTTATTGAGTATGAGACCAGCAGTTAGCATAATGGCTATGTCACTGGACTCCCATGTAGTCGACCACAGT